CTCAGGCTGCCGTCTCCAACTGCTCGCAGTTATACACTGACTCCCCCAATTCTCCCCGTTTCTGTCACTGCCCATCATCCGAGTCAGTCGCGGGTTCTTGCCCTCTGGCGTCGTTGCAAGCTGCTCGAATTCGCACTGTAGAGGGCTTAGAAAGTACACGTGTACCGAGAGTTCCACGTGTAGGGACTCGCAATCTCGACCCTAACAGCGGTATCCTTGCGGCTGTTTGATGTTGGGGATGATCGGGCAACTAAGCGAATTACTTGCATCGAGATGTCCGTGCTCTCTATACCCCTATCTCTTTCCACTGGAAAGGCCCCCCTGAACGTCTTGCTGTTAGAGGCTGTAAGGCGGTCTCTGGTGGTGGTGACCACCCCGACTACGGTTCCGCGCACCAAGATCCATTCCCCCCAAAATCGAGATGGCCTAGGAATCTACCTGCCGGGCGACTAAAAACTCCGTCATGTCTGTCTCTCTGACCGAAAGGAACTATCCTTTTCGGTCCGGTGACTGGGCGATCCGTCAAGGCTAGCTCGCCGGATCTGGGAGGGTCACGAGTCAAGATGCGCGGAATAGAGTTTCCAACCCAGAGGCTCATGAGGTGAACCGCCTCCGAATGGCACAAGAGTCAGCCGCCACAAAGTCTAGACCGGGACCGAGGCAGCAACATCAGGTCAGCTTTCTTATCACAAAGGAGGGGGACCAAAAACCGCCAGCCCGAGAAGTCAGCCCAGGTCGCTCGGTGGCGTCGTCGAGGAACCCAACTCGACTCACGGAGTCATGGACCAATGACGCGGCGTCCGTGCCGTCTTCCAGGGACGAGTGAGCGAGCAGTCGAAGCCGCTTAGTTAGTATGACGAGAGGAGGAGGACTGACTGCTCTGCTCTCCTCTCGAGGCAATGGCGGTGAAAGATACGACGTAGACCGTCTCACCGCGCCACCCCTTTTCGATCCCCCTTCTGTGCTACTGACTGATCGACCCCCCTTTTACCCCTCTCAGCCTCCCACCCCTTACGAGGCAGTTGGGCGTGCTTTAGGGGTTGGAATTCTCCTTAGAAAGTTCACCAGATGCCGCAAACTGCTTCTCTGGTTGCGATAGTGGCATCTCAGGCGTCGGGCTACCACTGCTTCGTTGAACTCTCACCCAGGGGCGGACCGAGCCCATGGGAAGCCCCATCACCTACTACTACGGACGCATGAGCCCGTCCGTTTTTTTTCGGTCTCCTCTTCTTCGATCACTCCGCAGTGCCAAATCTACGGCCCGATCGCTCGGGTCCTGCCTTTGTCCTGCGTCGCGCTGTGTACTTTTATTTTACTTTTCTCCTACTTGCTCGGGAGCTCCAGTGGGAACCCGCCAGCGTGCCCGCCGGCCGTCCACCAGCGGAAAAGGACTCGCACATCCGTCGAAGGGAGGGGACAGATAGTGCCCGTGGGCACTACTGCACAACCGGACTGCCGCTTCCGGAGCGAGGAAAACACTGTGGGTGGACTTGACCCCGTGCTCTAGGTAGTTTAGTCTCGGGTGCCCATGCCTGGCCGCAACTCTAACTGTGCTGAACCTCAATCGTCTCTTGCAAGGAAACATAGTTTGAGGGGAATGATGTATGGTTGTTTGAAAGAGAAACCAACAAGCCGAGGTTTGTGGAGGTGTCTATATTTACGCTTTTCGTATTTTGCATAGTGGTTGCGTTCATTTTTTTCCCTCCTTTCTTTTTCCTCAGAAACCACCATCCAGCAAGTACAGAGCGAAGACAAAGATAGGATACTGTAGGCCTAAACGGGTCTTGGCTTTGTGCGGCGTACAGGATAGATCCCTGCTTGTTTGCGTTGGGTCTGGTTCGGCCGTATGCCCTCAGCGCCAGAGACATTTCACGTCTACCCCGACCTGAATGAACACCCCTATTCTCAGCTCTTGTTCCCAGCTAGTGCTCGCTAGGACGGGGAGTTTTTTTAGCAAAAAGGTGTCAAGAATGGGCTGGGCGGAACCAAGGAAAACTTGGGGCAACCAACAACTCGTTTCGTTGGCTTCCAATCATGTGTCGAGCTCTTTGGTGGACGAGGAGACTAGTTACTCCGCGTTGACGCCGAGGCTGTGAGACAAGCATTGCAGCCAGGTCAAGTGATCGGGGCTGTATGGGATCTCTAGATCCTTGGCTGGCGGTAATTGTTCCGCTCGAGACAGAAACTATCTGCTCCAGCCATGATATTGGACACGATCATGAGCGCGGTTACGCCAGGAGCTGAATGGTCCGTCCATCCGTCGAGGGGACAGCCTACTCCAGGCCACCAAGCGCATGACATGGATGCCTTGTCCAGCCATCTCAACACCCAGAGCGAATCAAGTCAATGATGACGGCCTAGGACCAGGGAGTGAGCGGTACAGATGGGGAGTCAAGCGCTTGCTCTAGCAGCGCTCATTTAAGCATAACGGCAGTGGTTTCCGCGGATGTTGCGGCGTTCAGAGCGTTCGAGACCTTTCTCAGGCCATATCACGGTTGAGGTGATGCCGGGAGAAGAGGCTATTGGATGACGTTGGTGCTGGAGACTGTGCTCGAGAATGTAGAGGTTGTTTCCAAGGAGACATGGTCAGTGCACTATGGATCTCGTGGGGATTGTTTGTCCGAGGCATGCATGGTATGGTTGCATCCCTTATTGCATTTTTTGTGAAACAGACCTTTCCGGGAAGGACAATGGTCGTCAGGCAGTTGGGCTGCTCTTAGAATCAACATCAGCTAGTAGGTTGTGATGAAAATCCGCTGTGAAAGGGTCGTGGTCTTGTCACTGCATGGCTAATGGCGACTCGCACATTCGCTGACATTCGACAGTTATTCTGGGGGAATGGCTTTGCTGGTACCGCAAGGGAGCGGCGGCGACGCAAAAACTATCGGATTCATTGCCTCGGTCACAGAATGAGTAGTCCGGATTTCCTCCCGCGCGTTGCTATTGCTTACACAACAACTTCCAGGGCAGGCGGCCTATCTGGAGCAGATCTCCGTTTCGACTGCGCCGAAGCATCTTCAATTCGCTCAGACTACTATCAAAGTGCACAATGGAGATCTGTCGGTACTGCATTCACTCAAAAGAATCTGGCACTGCCAAAGCCGCCGCTTCTACGACAAATGGTTCAGCGGAACCCCGTTCCCCAGTTTCTTGCGTGATCTGGAGTCATTTGAGACTCTGCGACTATCGCGTACGCCCCCACAAGTCATAGGCAAGGGTTATGAATACCCTACGAGCGAGAAAATTCGATTGACCATAGTGGGACTCTTCGCTTAATAGTGCCCAAGTGGAGACGGAGTTGAGAAGACTTTTTTATATCAATGAAGAGAAGAAGTGCATACAAACAATACGATACCGAAACACTGATATCTATGGACTCGTCGGCTTGTGTACCTACCACCTGAACTCGAAACAGGACCTTGTCACTGTGGCTTTTCTTCCAGCGAAGGATCATGCCCTGGGGGCTGGTCAGAGCTGGGTCCACTTTGCTTATACTCGTACGCATACTGCTACGTACATATATTCATAATAGGTGTATAAGGGCACAATCGCAACTTGAAAGAGCCATCGTGGCTTGGTCATAAAGGGTCTCCAGGATTATACAGTAGTTTCTGCATAATGGTGAGGCACTGCTTGGGTTAATCGGCGACGTTGAAGCAGCTGACTATAGAGGATTTCAGCTATGCAGCTTATAGTGCATTGCATGTAAGGCCGTGCCACTCGTATATTCAGGCAAAGTGTAACGTATGCAGCTCTGAAAGGAGCCTAGAAAGCGACACTCCCAGAGGGGGGCTTACCAGCCCTGCGTACTGATGCTTCCGTCATCTTGTAGGGGGTAGTTGGGCTATACACACTGCTCAGCCCAGCCCCCAAACCCCATCTGATGAGACGCGCGCCGGGGAATCCGGATGGAAATTCCTGTAGAGCTAGCTAGCTTATCAATCTTCACCAAACAATAAAAAAAATAAATGCCCAACTAACGATTGGGGCCTGACCCTCTTCCTCATGCTCATCGTGAGGCTGGCTCCGTTCCGATTGGCTGCTCACCTCCTTGTTCTGAAGGCGGCGTGCGCCCGCCACGAGGATCGTCTCCTGGCCTGTGCGCTGGAGCCCGTTGAACCCGGGGATTGCGGGTTGTGGGGAACGGGAGACAGGGGGTCACCACATTGTCGGGATGGGCGGTTTCAGAAGATGGGACATGTTGAAGATTGAGGCTGAAGAAAGAGCAAATGAGATATGTCTAGACAGTATTGGGTTCTTATGCGTTGGATTGCTTGTGTCAACGCTCATGGGACCGGACAAAAACGTGGATTTCAGTCACCTTACAGGCTATGAGGAAGGTATTAGTGAGATGGCGAATCGTCACAGATAAAGGAAGCTCTCCTGCACAAGTGGAATTGTATATAAGCTTAAGGTAAGGTTGGAGACTCGGTATTACTCCATATCCCTTTAGCTACACTGATGTCTGCCTGGCCATAGCGCACGGCCGGCTGCCACACCTTCGCGCACGTGAGGCCACTACAAACATCAGACGAACCTGTCCAGGCCGTATAAGGCTGTTTAAGATGACCCAAATTCAACAGCGGTGAGAAGAGTAGCTCAGATGGCGTAACGTAAGTCCATTGCAAACCCTACTAACTCCCTCCCTCATACACGACGCCTCGCCGTACACGGAGCCCTCAAAAGGAGTATCCAGGCAGGATCCCACGTCGCAACACCAATACCCGCAAATCCGAAAGGAGGGCGCGCAGTAGATCAGGCCGCTGTAAGAGCTTGAGCTGGGCGTGAAGGAACGGTCGAGAAAAGACCGGCGACCGTTCCTTTTTGTCGCCGTCCGCGATGTATCACGGTGGTCTTGGGTGCGTCGCAAGGGTGGACGGCAAGCTCGAGTGTTCGAAACCCCAGAGTATCCTTTTAGGCAGCCTTTCTTTTTTTGACCACATTGATTGCTGAGCAGAGCAGGATGGTTTCATTCATTCATTGCATTCATACCTGGTATATCACCCCTCCCTGCTCTGACCAACCTCCACAGCCATCTCCTCCCTAACCGTCGTATGACCCGTCATCGCCTCCCTCTCGAGCACAAAACACCGCTCTGCAAAGACCCCCCGAGCATTCTGTCTCCGCCACGGCTCCCCCAGCCTGCGCACCATGAGCTTCCTCCACCCGCCGACATTGATAGTCACGCTCCGCCACGGCACGCCGTCCCTGGCCGCCGCCCTGCTGCGCACGAGGAAGTCGAACATGCGCGTGACCGCCTCGCAGTCGCGGTCCGTGCCGGGGTACACGACCTCGAGGGGGTGCAGCACCGTCTGCACGTGCAGCGTGAGCGTGTGCAGGCGCGGGAAGCCGCACAGCGCGCGCAGGAAGAGCGGCGGGTCGCACAGCGCGACGTCCATGTCGAGCTCGAGCGTGTGCAGGCGCGCCAGGCGCCTCGACAGCAGCACGACGTCGTCGGCCCACAGCGTGGGACACCTGCGGTCCTCGTCGCTGAAGCCGACGTGGTCGCGGAAGTGGAGGGAGTGGAGAGACGCGGCGTGCGCGAGGATGCCGTCCATCGGGAAGAGGTCCGTGTGGCAGGTGATGTTGAGCGTGTGCAAGGCCTTGATGTGCTGTTTCACGAGCACGTACAGGCCGCGCGTGGCTTCGAGGCGGTGGTCGGGCAGGTGGGCGGAGAAGTCCTCCACGTGGAGGGTGTGGAGGTCTGCAAAGTCGGCGAAGGAGACGGAGGAGAGGAAGTTGAATAGCGGGACGGAGATCAGTTCCAAGGAGCGGATGCGTGAGAAGTCCCAATGTGTCGATACGTCGTCTTGGGTGTGACGCCAGTCGTAGCTCTTTAATCTCAGCTCTCGTAAGGGTGGTAGTCGTTCCTTTCCATTAAACATTAATTGCGTTCCCTGGCCCCTATCCTGATAGTGGAATATTTCAAGTTGTGGTGATCTAAGCAACAGGTTCTTGAGAGATCCAAGACGGGTGGTCAGGGGCGGCGCGGAGTGAGCCATCTTGAGTGACACCAACAAGTCGGTGGGAATAGCCCGTACGTATGTATTTTGCAAATTGCCATCGAAATCTCTCAGAGGCAAGTCCTCAACGTAGAGCTTGGTCTTATGCAGCTGAGTTTGTTGGAGATTGAGAACATCAGAAGGTAACCAGAAGCGGCCTGACTGGAAGTTGGCATCGGCGTAATGCCATCTAAATGGTAGATTGGTCAGGAATTTGCAAAATTGAAGCGGTAATATATCAATGCCATACCTTACTGACGCTAGAGATCGGATTCTCTCCAACACTCTAGCAATGCCGTCAGGATCCAGGTTACTGCTTGCAATGATGTGGTTCGTATGAGCATAGATGTGAGCTAGACCACGAGGACATCGCTCTTCCGCTTCTGGAGACACAATATTCTCGTTCAAGCGCAAGATCCGGTATGCAACAGGAGTTGCGATGTCATCAAAACGCTGGCACAGGCACCGGGCAGCCCATAATGATACGGCATCGATCTCTCGAAGCTAGGTAAACGTTAGACCAGTCGTAGAGAAACAAGTTGTCAGCTGAGAAACATAACCTGTTCAAATATCAATGCCAACAGCTCTGATGATAGATCACTGAAGGACGGCTTGTGTCTCTGCTGGGTTGCCGAGAGGGAAGTAGCCATTTGAGACTTCTGGACATGGCATCTGGTGGAATCCCCAGCTAATTTCGGATGCTCTGATATCAAACGAGCCTTGTAATAAGGGTCTCGTGTATGCCACGTTGTAGGAGGCATCGGGCTGTTTTATTACAAAGACCGGACCGTCCCACCAATGTGGGGGAGGCCCTAGGAAAGAATAAATGAATGAATGAATGACAGGATGGGATCAAGACGTGGGTATGTGTGTGGTAGCTGTAAGTGTCTGACACCCATGATCTGCTTGATAGACCCCCAACCACACCAACGGGCCAGCCAACCGTTCCGTCCCTTGCTATCAAACTCCGACGAAGGAGAGCTAATAAGCGAAGCAAATCCGCCTACGTATACGGATGCACCGGCGTCTCGCTTGTCAACCATACGGAGCCGCGATGTACGAACCCACGGCAAGGATGGATGGAGCCAGTGGGGGGAGGGCGCACACGGCTGCCTCCATGTATGTACGCGCGACCAAGACAAAGGCCGTACGGCAGCGGCAGCGGTAGCGGGGCGGCAGAGACACTGGCTTGACGCAAGAAGACTTTCGAGGGGAAAGCGCGGCTGGAAAAGAGCTGGGTCTACCAAGACACTTAAGAAGAGAAAGAGAGATTGATCGGTGGGAGGAGAACAGACGTCCAGTTTCGGGTATGGGATGCGACAGGGCCGTCTACGCAACACATCACTTTGTCAAGGAATGGGCTTGTTCTGCCTATGTGATGCTTGCCATAGACGAAGATATAAATGGAAACGTAAATGATGAGATGAACGAAACACCAATCGCTGTTCTAAGCCTTTTCCAGGTCTAGGGAGCGAGGGGAGAAAGAGCAGGGACAAGGCATGATCGAGCCACGGCTGTTACCGTTTTCTCATTCTGCAGAACAACCAGATGAGACCCGAGCCTTCGGGTGATCAGTGCAATCGATGAAGCATCAAAAGACGAGCTGGTAGGATGATACATCACTCGTGGTCTGTGTGGGACGCACGTTTACCACCTGCCGTTGTCGATCCCCCGGTGCCGGTGGATTATCTAGGGACTGGCCAGGACTAGGGGCACAGAGACGCTGCTGATCAAACTGCCGGTTCCTGATTAATTTTTCCTGCTACCGTATTTCGCTGTTCTTTTGGCGTCCTGTTTCGCTGCTTTTTGGCAAGTGTGAGACTCGAGGGGTGTCGCAGCATATCTCGGGACCCGAGGGATGCAGGTTCGCGACAATTTCCTAAAGGAGTATCAGTCCAAAAACCTTAACTACTTATACGCATTACGACCACCCGCCAAGGAGCAGAAAGTTCGCAGCAGTGTCCTTTGTCCGTTAAATACACCTCGGGAGAACAAAATCCAACCTGGAGCAAATCCTGCTGAGCATTTCATTGGATAAGATCCGAAGTCTGGGAGCCGTTATTCAGTGCTGCAAAACCGGCCGAGTTGCTAGCCTGCAGCAACCATGTGTGTGGTGATGCTCGCTTTCGGTCATTTAAGCCATTTACGGCCGCACACTAAAACATCGAAGAAGGCATGTTCCGTGTTCTAATGCGACAATGAATGGATGACGGGGCTTGCTAAGCTAAACCAAAGAGCTGGGATTTGTGAGAAGAGGAGTATACGTAGGTGGCTCAAGAAAGGCGGGCAGGCGGGAGCAAAAGGGAGACCACAAGAAGAAAGCAATTCATTGCATTGCATCTGCAGTTGGGGCAGTTGGGCTTTGCAGGGGGGGGTCCCATTGCAAGCAAACATGCAGCGGAATTGGCGCCAGAACCCTGGACACGGGATGTTTTCCCTCCAGAAAACGTGGCAGCGTTGCATCTCTGGGGAGCCAATCGCAATCTACCCTCGTTTGCGGCGTCCTGCCCCGAGACGTCAGTCCATACGATAGTCCATCCATGTATGTATGTATGTATGTATGTAAGTACCCGCTGGCTGGCTTTCTAATTGTTCACTCATTGAGCAAACAAGATGACGAATGGATGGATGGATGCTCATGCTCATGCTCATGCTCGGCGACCTCAGCTCGTATGTGCGCAAATCGCAATCAAGTCGTGAAATTGGATGCTACTATGCATGCAATGCCCACAATGCCCTGCACGCTGCCGTCTGTCTGGTCGCCGATAGCGAACCGGGCAGGCTGCCGGAATCGAGCTCGGCAGGCATAGACCAGCCGTTCTGTGTGCAAAGTCCCCGTGGTGGTCTGGGTGGTGTATAGCTAATCTGAGCTTGTTCATGCGGCGGATGAACTAAGACGCTCCGTCCCATCACCATCTCGTGTGCGCTATACACTATACACACTATACCTACCTAGAGTAGTATGTCATGATTAGCGCATTATGGGCACGAATACTCCAATACCCCAAAGCACTCCCCGTAGATAGTCCCAAATGTAGACATCTTTGTCTAGGGAAACCTCCGATAATGGCATGGCGTCACCGGGCTATCTGTCTGCCAAAGATCGCCGGCGAGGCACACTCAGGGTTGCCCTCCATTCCGTGATAGGAAATGACATCGCGATTCCTTAGGGGTCCCAAGCCCAAGGCCATGATCGCCAGCTAGGCCTCGGTCCGGTCATCATCGACAAGTCCGTCGGGAATCGGAACTCTCAGCCCACAGGCCAGCCCCTATAGACGGGACGATGAGTTGCATTTGATAGGGTCCTCAACCCTAACTCGCGCTGCGCAGCTCTAGCTCGACATGGCAGTGATGTGTGGCGATGCGCTGTTCGTCCGTACATGGAAGGAATATGAGATGAAACGTCCTGCTTTCGGCGTGGATGGGTGAAGGACAAGCCCGCGAGCTCAGGGCCCTTCGTCGGAGGCTCCGCTGCGAGCGCGATCAGGCATTACGGCGGGGCATCTGGCGATTTTAGGCTTCTGCGCGGGCCGTGGAATCCTCCCTCCATTCGGTCTGCCATACCTAGGCTAGGTGATTCAGACATTGGGCCTAGCAATCAAACGGCCCCAGCAGTAAGGTACTTTGTGCAAGCCAGTATGTAGGAGGAGCGTAAAAAGGAATATTCGAAAGACGCCCGCTGCGCCGGAGCGGGGCGGACGAGCTAACGCAGCTACAAGGATCACGGATGCGGTGCAGTGATGACAGCCCACCGCCGCATGCCTACAGACCACAGACCTTACCTTTGCATGCCCTACTTATACTTATTTGGGTCAGTGCTTGCGAACATGCATGTCTTAGATACTATTATCATGTATGTTCCGCGTAGGCGAGCTTATTACGGGGTCACTGTCCACCGTCTGCCATCATGCGAGCTGCATTCCTCATTTCTCTTCGAGCGGCCACAGTCAAACCTTGTCTCGGGCTGGTTTTTGTGTGCGTGATCACGTTAGGGTGGCGGCATAATATCGCTGAAAATGTGTCATTGTTTAGACCTGAAAATGCTGATATCGATTCGATCGGCTGCCATCAACTGCTTTTCTTGGTCCAGCTGCAGCATACATCTTGCCGTAAGATCGGCTAAGCACTGGCTGTCCACTACCTACTTTATGAGGTACAGCTGGATGCGAAGCATTTGAAAATCACGAGTGCCTGCTTCTGAAAAAAAAAAAAAAAGAGAACAATCACCTCCACGTCAAGGAAACGGAAACCCCTAACCTCTTCTGTCTCTCCCCACTTAGTAGCGATACATCGGTTCTTTTGACTTGCCAGACGAGTTGTATGCGTCATTGTCGTCGTCGTCGTACAGATTGTCCTCGTCTATCTTCGGCTGGGCAACGCCCCTGGAGCCGCCCGGGCCGGAAGGCTCCTCGGGCGACGAGCTGGCACCGTGCATCTGCACCTTGTCATAGGCGCTGTCTTGCCGGTTCACGTAGCTTGGCGTCGAGTTGAAGCCTGGGTGGAACGGCT